AAAAAAAAGAGAGACAGGGAAAGAGAAAGAGAAGAGAAAGAGAAAGAGAAAGAGAAGAGAAAGAGAGAGAGAGAGAGAGAGAAGAGAGAGAGGAGAGAGAGAGAGAGAGAAAGTGAGAGAGAGAGAGAGAGGAGAGAGAGAGAAGAGAACACAAGAGGCAAGAACATAAGGATAGAAAGAGAGAAGAAAGAGAGAAAGAGAGAAAGAGAATGAGAGAGAGAGAGATAGAAAAAAAGAAGAAAAACAAAGAAAAAGAGAGAGAGAGAGAGAGAGAGAGAGAGAGAGAGAGAGGGGGAAGGAGAGAAGGTTAGAACGCGAGAGCTAGAGAAATAGAGAAAGAGAGAAAGAGACACAGAGAGGGAGAGAGAGAGAGAGAGAGAGAGAGAGAGAGAGAGAGAGAGGAAGAGAGAAAGATACAGAGAACAGAGACGAACGAGAGAAAGAGGAAGATAAAGAGAAGGAGAAAGAGAAATATACAAAGAGAGAGAGAGAGAGAGAGAGAGAGAGAGAGCGAGAGAGAACAAAAAACAAAAGAATATATATATATATAGAGAGAGAGAGAGAGAGAGAGAGAGAGAGAGAGAGAGAGAGAGAGAGAGAGAGAGAGAGAGAGAGAGAGAGAGAGCCCAACACCCCCGCGCACACCATCGGACGGTCCGGCCCCCGCGGGGTGGGGGCTCCACCCACTGCTGGTCGGTAGATTGCGGCGCGGATGCCAGGGCAGGGGGGGGGGGGGTTCGCGCAAGATGGGAAGGCCTTCCTCGGGGCACAGCGAGGGCTCCCAGGCCCTAGGGTCCCTTTTGGATATCACGGCAGGGCAGCGACCGCAGCGCTAGCGCCCAGTTGGGAGAGGGAGGGGGGGGGGGGGAGATAGATGGCCAAGCAAGATAACATGATGCAATGACGACTGGAGAGAGCGGGGGGGCGCACATCCTATACTCAGCTCACCGAGGAACGAGCTTATGGTCACGAGCCTGAGGGGCTTCACTATCTGGCATCACGCGTCTACTCCTGGGTTTCCCCCCTGGGTTGGGGGGTCGTTGGCCAAAACAACGGGCTGGAATGGGGGCGCCTGCCTGAGCTGCAGCTGCGGTTCCTGCTGCTCCGACCAATCCTGCGAATGGCGTCTTGACTGCTGCTTGCTCCTCCCAAATCGCGATCGCGAAAGGAAGTTGGAGTGTGTTCGCGAGCGCCTGGATCATCCAGGTCTCTCTGGTGTGGGTCCAGTGGAGGGTCGCGCACGCCTTCGGCACCTGGATCGCACGCCGGTCCTTCGCAGGGAAGACGAACCAACGGCGATAACAAAACACAAAAAAACGGACGCGGACTCCGCGAACTACATGGGCACACAATACTGGTATAACTTCTGTAACCACCACCTTGCGGGCATAGCTTGAGGGAGTGGCTGGAGCGAACGGGTAGGGGGCTGCGCATCCTCGGAACCGGCTGGAACCATCGAAGACCCTGGCTCCGAATCTGATCAGACACCTCACCCGCTTATGCTTCTTGAGACCACAGAGGCCGCCTTGCTCTTCGACTTCGGTATCTGCTTCCTGGGGCAGTGCGCAGTGATGCACTTGTTCACGTTGCCTGTGACTCCTTTGCCGCCGCCCATCGCAGTCTGGAGGAAACTGGTTGCGTCGGCCCACGTGAGCGTCTTCGGCGCGGTCTTCTTCTTGCCCGCGAGCGACTGGGGCCAGCCCTGCTAAGCGCGGCTGAGTGTCGAAGTGGATGATGGGGGCTCGGCCGCGGGTGCCGGGGGCGTCTCGCGGCGCGCGGGTGCGCCGTTCGAGCCGTCCGACTGCCCGCCCTTGTCATCGTCGTATCATAGCTTTGCCATCTTGTCGCCAAGCGAGCTCTTCATCGCCGTGGCTAGGTGCTCTCCCTGTTTGCGTAAGCGTAGCTCCTCTGCCCGATCCTTCCTTCGCGCCCTTCAGAAACACCTGGTACTCGGGGCCCTCCTGGGCCAGGGGGTCGCGCAGCTTCTCGGCGCCCGCCGCGGGCTGGGGTGCAAGCCGACGCCGACAACGGTCGGCGCGATGATGATCGCGCTTGTCGCGGTCTCGTCCACGGTCGCGGTCGCCCGTCGGTCGCGACGGTCCCGGGAGGCCCTCCCACGGTCGTCGCAATCTCCCCGACGGGGTGAGCTGCCGCGGCGTCCACGGCTGCCCCCTCGACGGTGGCGATCCCGCTCGCGATCGTCGCGGCGATCGTCTCTGCGGTCCTCGCGGCGAAACCGCCTGTCGCCTTCGCAGTGCCACTCGTCGTTGCTGCGGCGGCCTCCATCGCGGTCTCCGCTGCGGCGTTCTCACGGGGGCTGGCGACGGCCGTCGCCCCCGCCCCCCACGGGGGCGACGGCCGTAGGAAAATAAGCAATCCACCGCCTCAATATCGCTCGAGCCTGATGAACGGCAACAGACGGGGGACAGGCATGGGCTGCTGCGCGGATGAGACCAGGAGGGTGCCTTATCAAGAATAGCTCCAAGGATAGTTCTAGCAACCACGCGACCTCCTTGGAGATCGTCAGCTCGAGGTGCTGGGGCCTCGCCAACCTTCTGACAAACAGGGGGGCGATCATGCTGAAACCGCGGGGTGCTTGGCCAGGCCAGGGAAGCACGTTCGACTCAGGTCGGGGCCCTGTGGGGTCCTTGAGAAGCCATGCGCGATAGCCGCACGCTGCTCATGTGTTGACCTCGCATGGTTTAGTAAAACATACGCACGCTCACTTTCTACTACATATCTTACCCACGCCGGGCATATCACCCATATGCCGACGTTGACATGCAGTTATAGCACCTGATGATGAGGATGGTGTAGGTCCGTCTTTGCGGAGACGTTCAGGAAGTGCTACGGCCTGGAGCTCGCACCAGGCTAACAGGATGGATGACGCCACGCCTGAGAGGGCACCACCAATGGGTGGCCCACGTAGCTCTTCTACAATGCCGCCAATCGTGACCAAGGGAATCCAGCAATGCGCCAGCGTCGTCTGCGCTGTGTCCGTCGAGTTCTTAAAGTAGTTGGGTGGTGTGGAGTCGCGAACGGATCTAGTCAAGCACTGGCGGCCGCGCTTGACTAAGGTCCAATCAACACCCAATCGTCGTGCAATCTCGGCTGCAACGAACTTCCAAACATCGCCGATGCGGGTGGCACCACGCTGTTCGTGTGCATGGTCAGCATCGGCCACGACCATGGAAACGTGGCGCAACAAAAACACATCGAGCACAGGAATCATCGACGGGCGGGTCTAAATCATCTGTCATCGTGCGCACCTCCTTGGCTGCAGAACACGCGTTAAACACTTTGCACGATATGCCACTTTCCTGGATGAGATGTCGGGCCGCGCGTCCGATGCATCGGTGCCCATCGGCACCTGGGGTCTCAAAAGAATACACAATGCGTCGCGTGCAGCTGTAGCCAGGTTTGGCGCACGTGCGAGTGCAGTCTTCTGCGAAGCACTTGCTCTTGACCGTTGGGGTCACGTATGGAGTTGATGTCGTCTTCGACGGTGGTGGTACCGTCTGAGCTGAGCGTGGCTAGGTCGGCAGGCCTTGGTCAGCTCCCTATGAGGCCACGAAGCGTGTATGAGGTGTGCCGAAATGGGTCGCACGGACGCATGTGAATCCTGCCACTGGGGCCTTCGGTGAGGCTCCCTGCGAGGTCACGAAACGTGTGGGGAGTGTGCCGGACTGGGTCGCGCGGACGCGTGTAAAACCTGCCGATGGGGCCTGTGGAAATCACCATGCGGCCATGAAGCGTGTATGAGGTGTGCCAAAATGGGTCGCGCGGACGCGTGTAAACACTGCCACTGGGGCCTTGGGCGGAGCTCCCCATGGAGCCACGAAATGTGTGAGGGGTGTGCCGAAGTGCGTCGCGCGAACGGATACCCCTGCTGGGGCTTTCGGAGAAGCTCCCCATGGAAAAACGAAGCGTGGGAGGGGTGTACCGACTGGGTCGCGCGGACGCATGTAAACCCTGCCGCTGGGGCCTTCGGTGGAGCTCCCTGTGGGGCCACGAAACGTGAGAGGGGTGTGCCGAAATAGGCCGCGCGGGCGCACGTGAACCCTGCTGCCAGGGCCTTCGGTGGAGTTCCTTGTGGGGCCACAAAAGTTGTGCGGGGTGTGCCGAAATCGTTGACTGGTGTGGCGGGCAACGCCAGGTATGGGATGAGGGAGGAGGGAGAGGAGAAGGTGTCAGAGGCCCAGGGCGCTGTGTGTTCAAAACGAGGACCCAACACTACAGGATGGTCGGGAATAGAGGAACACGAGGGATGATGATTATGACGATGATGATGCTGACGATGACGATGCTGATGACGATGCTGATGATGATGATGCTGCTGATGACGATGATTATAATGGTGGTGACGATGATGCTGGTGATGCTGATGATGGTAATGATGGTGCTGATGATGATCATGCTGCTGCTGCTGATGCTGATGCTGCTGCTGCTGCTGAAGATGATGCTGTTAATACTGATGAGGCTGCTGATGATGCTGATGCTGGTGATGGTAATGATCCTTATGGTGATGAGGCTGATGCTGATGCTGATGCTGATGCTGATGCTGATGCTGATGCTGATGATGATGATGATGATGATGATGATGATGATGATGATGATGATGATGATGATGCAGCTGCTGCGGCTGATGATGATGATGATGATGATGATGATGGTGATGAGGGTGGCAATTATGCATATGAAGATGATGCTGATGATGCTGATGATGAGGCGGAGGTGGAGGAGGAGGAGGATGATGAGTATGATGATTCGGAGCGGCAACAAGAATGAGAAGGACGACGAAAGGCGCCCCGGGGTTCGAAGTCGTGAACAAATGAAACACCGTACATCATCACGACCGGAGCCCTAGACCCCATCTTTCGGCGCCATTTGTCGAGCCGTATATGTCTGTGAGGTCGACGAGGAAGGAGGAGGATGACAAAGAGGAGGATGAGGAACAGGAGGAGAAGGGCAAGAGAGGAGGGGGAAGAGGAAGTGCGCTCCTGGGTCGGGTCCGGCTTCCACGCGAAGTGGTGAAAGCGCCCGCGTCCGGGTTGCCTGTCGGCGGAACAGAGGGTCTCGCTGCTCGGATCTCCTCGCCGCTCCTCCCTTGGGGTCGAAACGAGGGCACCAAGAGCGCAGGGGCCAGAAAAAGCGCGCGCGGGCATAACCTCTCGAAGTCGGCGCTGTTCGCGGGGGCGAAAGCGGGGCACACGAGGATCTGGGGCCCCTCTGGGGCCCCAGATCTGGACGCAACAGGCGCGTTCCCTCGAGACGCCGACCTCAGATTTTCAAGCTGATTTGAATGGGCCGGAATTTCGGCCGGCGCCCACGTATGGCCCGAGCGGAGAGCATTCCAGGGTGGAGGGCGCAAGCACGAGGAGCACAACGGTAGCCCATCCAAAGCTGGTGCTGTTCATCCTCGTGCGGTCTGAACGGTCGACACATACAAGGGGGCACGTTTTCCGTTCCGTCGATTTTTCAACTTCGAGGGCGTCTCAAGACTTCTGACAGTCTCCGGGGCCTTCGGGGAGCATGAGATTTCAGTGGGGCATCTTTTGACCAGGCTGGTTTATTATTTGATGGGCCTACTGCGGCTCCCTCCCCTTCCGTCCCTTTGTCTTTTGCTCTCTTCTACCATTCCCTCCTTCTCTTCGAAACGCTGCAACTGACGGCCTCAAACCTGTGATGCGTGAGCGCTCTTGTTTTGCAGGCTTGCTCTGTGAGCATTCGACGGCCACGCCGCCTCGTCAGACTGGCATGACCACAAATCCGCCGACCCTGTCGGCGTGTGTGGGGTGTCTGTCTGGTCCCGTCGACGGGGCGCCTTTTCTGTTTATCCTTCCCCGTCGGGGGTGAGAGAACACTCTCCCGTCGTCGGGGGGAGGAGTCCGGGAATTGAGGGACATCGACCCACGTCGTAGTCACGTCAAAAGGAAGCCCCTTCCCTTTGTCCCTTCCCCAGCGGTGGGGGGTCCCAGGGAGAGAGGGGGTCAGATTCGCATCCCCCGTTTGCGGCTTTTACAAAAGGACCCTCTGTAGATGCGCTGGAGGAGGGGGGGTCGCCACGACGGATCCGCAAGAGCGCCCCTAGACGGCCCAAACCCCACAAGACAACCCAAAAACTCCCAAGGACAGCCAAAGGGGGCCCCCAGAATGCCAAAGGACGCCGCCCATATACGTTTCCCCCTCAAGCGCCCCCGAAACCATGGGAAAACTGTCTTCAAAAACCCACATCATGCCACAACGCCTCCTCCTCCTCCTCCTCCTCCTCCTCCTCCTCCTATTCCTCCTCCTCCTCCTCCTCCTCTTCCCTCATCCACCTCCTCCACCCTTCATCTTTTCCCCCCACTCCTCCTCCTCTTCCTCCTCCTCCTCCCTCTCCTCCTCCGCCTCCTACCCCCCCCACTCGTTTTCATCCTCGTCTTCAGGGCTGGCGGCACCCCGGCCGTAAGGCTTTCGCAATCGGCCATACGCTAACATGGATTACAGATCCGTGGATCTGGTGCGTGGGCGCGAGATCCACGGATCGGGGCAGGCAACCCCCGAAACATGAGGCGAATGCTGCCTGATTTGGCAATCCACGCGCCATAATCCATGTTTGCGATGCCTCGAACAAGCGAACGAGGTATGCACCTCCTTCCTGCCAGCATGCACGCGGGGGGGCGAGGAGGAGAGAGGAAAGGAAACACTTCAGCGGAGCCAACGCTAGTGATACAAGGGAAGCCCTCTCCCGCTCAACTCTCTCCTTCCTCTCCCTCCCGTTCCCTCCAGAGGAAAGGGGGAGGATGAGGAGGAATAAGAGGAGGACGAGGATACAGAGGAGGTATAAGAGGAGGAATAAGAGGAGGAAAACGAGGAGGAATAAGAGGAGTACGATTAGGAGGATGATGAGGAGGAGGTCGAACGTGCCCAAGGGGGCTTCTCCGATGACGCCTACGCCTCACCTCTGGGCCCACAGCCGTACAGCGGGACCCTTGATGGGGCAAACGAACGGCGGCTCGAATCGTCGAGGCACGCACTCTCGCGCATGATTCGCGGCGTTGAAGTACCAGGGATGGTGTTATGACGCGGTTCAAGATCGCCGATACGTAACAGTCACGTCAACTCGTGGCAGTGAAGCCCCGGGAACGGTGTTTTGGCACGTTTCAAGACTCACGCGGTGGTCCCCCAACGGGGCAAGTCCCTCAGTGGAATGTCTCTTGTATTGGGCCTATGAGGAGGGATCTTGGAGGGAGGGTGTATCTCAACATCGTTGATGAGTCTTGGGTTTACACTTTTACACTGGTCCTCCTCCTCCTCCTCCTCCTCCTCCTCCTCCTCCTCCTCCTCACCCTCCTCCTCAATCGCATCTTTCTCCTCCTCCTCCTCCTCCTCCCTCCTCCCTCCTCCTCCTCCTTCCACCCTCCCTCTTCCCTCACCCTTCCTCCCTTCTCCCTCCTCCGTCCTCCCTCCCCCCCCTCCTCCCTCCTCGCTCCTAGCTCCTCCTCGCTCCTCCCTCCCCCTCTGGTTTCTCCTCCTTTCTTCTCCCTTCCCCGCCTCCCTCCTCTCTCCTCCTCCCTCCTCGCGCGTGGCCGAGGCGCAGCAGATCCTTCCTCCGCGCCGAGCCCCGCGCCGCCAAGCGCCGCATTTGGGCGCGCACCACCTGCGCGAAGGCGGCTGCTTCACGCCGGTGGAGAGCTCGGCCGAGGAGTGCCCGTCGGGCGCGCAGTTTAGGGTGCAGCAGACAAAGTGACATCGGGATTTCAAACCGAGCAGGCGAGGGCTCGAGCAGCCCGAGAAGATCAAGATCGTTCCCCCCCTCCACCACCGCGTCAGGCCCCGCGACCTCGATCATCAGAGCCCTAAGCCTCGGGCGCACAAAGTAGTGCCGCATGCAGACAAGGGCGTCGCATCCGAGACAGCACGACGACGACAAATGCTGCAAGCGACGCTGGGTGAGCCAGGCCTTGCTGAGGGCACGAATTAGAGCGAAAGCCAGCGCGGGCTTAAGCTTAGACGTTGCAGTACTTACGCTACTCCAATCCATCTGAGCGATTTTGTCCGCGCCCCCAAGGAACCAGGACAACAACCGCCGAGCGAAAAGGTTTTCCAAAGCTTCCGAGGGGAAAGGCGCGGCCGTGGACGAGGCCTGCAGGGCACTTTGAATCCTAACCCTACCAGGGCGGCGGCCCGCGCGGGCCCTAGAGGCGGCCTCAGACATCAGCTCTCGGACTTCAGCGTAGCCAGGGCTCAAGTGACGAAGCTTGGGGTCGTCGGGGAGACCGGCGGCAGCTATCTGAAGACGTTGGCAAAGGGCTGGCTCTCCCCACCACGACGGCGGCCATTCACCTCGCAGAACCTGTGTCAACGGCAGGCGGCGCATCGCCTGCTCCTTGAACCGCCTGGCCACCGGCGGCCACGTCTCCGCAAACGTAGCGAGCGCAGCGCGGCCATGGGCAGCATAAGCACCGAGAGTCGCACGCGGTACCTTCGGCCCTCCCCACGTCCCCATCCCAAACCATCCCAGCCTGCTCACGGCACAATGCGGGAATGAAAGATCCTAACCAACAGTGCTGCTTCTTGTCCTAGCAGAGATTGGGGCGGTGGCAGGAACTGGGCAACATGCGAGGGGATCGTCGCACATCGAGCGGAATCTAACATCGCAGCTACCGTCGTCGGGGAGCTGGCGCCAGCCAGCAAGGGTCCTCTGGATCTCCACTTGCCCAAGGGACCCGCCCAAGACTTTGCGAACGTGTTCGGTCCCACCCACATGCCTAAGTACTTAAGGTTCGGAACAAATCCGAAGCTTGCCCAAGACGGCACCAGTTGAGCTAAGGCCTGCCGATGAATCTCTCCGAGCTCCTCGCTGAAGGGGTCCAATGAGCGGAGCGATGAAACACTTGCACGTCTTGACTACTAAAGCCGCGAGTTTGTGGGCCCGCTGAAAGATCCGAAAGAGCACCATGATCAACCTGAGCTTCAAAATCACCCCGCCCAGGTCATCAGCGCGCGCGAGGATCGCCCCGCTGCGCCTCCTCGCGAAGGTGCTCAAAGTCGAGCAAGAACGGTTTCAAACTTGCTGCGAGTAAGGCGCCGCTGGCGGGGCACCCCTAAATCATGCCTGACCATATCGAGAAAAGCCGCACCGTGGCACCTCCCAGACTCCCAGGACAGCGAACGCTTTCGTAGAGGACCAGGAAGAACCAGAGGAGAGGCCCAGGGAGGTCATCTTCGCTAAAACCTTCTTCATCCAGGAGTGCGCCACGGACGGAAACGCCTGGGCGAAGTCGTGCGAGACGATGGCTGGACGGTCGGTCTCGGCTGTGTCCGACATCGAGGCGAGCCTAGCGTACGCGTCGATTTCGATCCTATGTTTGCACCGAACTGCCGGCCGATCGTGAAGCCCCGCAGCAGTTTACAACTGGCCTCCGCCATCTTGATCGAGAACGGCCTCACGACAAGGCTGGTGGGAATCTTATTCTCCGAATTCTTCAGGCCCAGGGGGCGCGGCGACTGGGCGTCGCGAAGAGCTCCTCCTTCATCTCCCCCCATCCTCCCCCTTCGGTATGAAGACACCGAGAACATCGTTGAAGTCGGAGCGAGGCGAGTTCCCATCCATGATCCACCACAAATACTCGTCAAGCAGCTCCGCTGCCTGAGGAGCGCAGCGCCAGGCAGCGCAAGGTGCGCGGTCAGGTCCTGGGGCACAGTCCTCCAAGGTCCGTAGCGTCTGACGGATGCTCGCTCTGGTCGGGGGCGGAATATCTGAGAAATCAAAGTCACCTACGAAGCGCCTCAAGCACTGGTCAGCATGACCTTGGAGCACCCCTTTGGGCCCAAAAACTTCGCCCCAGTGGCCGCAGATCGCAGAAGACATGGCCGCTGGCGTAGTGGCCACCGCGCCCCCTAATCGGAGACCTTTCAGCGCAGTCGGCGGTCGAACGAGGCCCATATCGCAGCTCGCTTTTGAAGACGACGAAGCTGCTGGCGACGCTTGCGACGGAGTCTCTCGGGGGTCTCATCGTTGTTGGCTGCTGTGATGGCTGCTTGCTGCGCCTCTAGGCCCGCCGGCTGCAGATGGCCCAGGTCCGCTGCAAACCTATCAGGATCTAATAGCCAGAAACTTCCGCTGCGCACGTCAAGGCCAAGAATCGCACGGGCACTCGGGCGCGCCTGCAGAAGGATGGAGCCTAGCTTCGCGTCTTGCCTCCAGACTGCCCAGGCGATGCTCCGGTGCAAGATGGCCCGAGCGAGCCGCGAAGTGGGTTCGCGATGCAAAAGGGCGTTCCGAGCGAATCTAGCTCCTTCCATCATAATATACTTACAAGAGTCAATCTTCAGCGGCGGGGCAGACCTTCCCAAGACGCCGCTCCCAGATGCGCCTCCATGTAATCCTGGAAATACTTGGTGGCGAAGAGCTCCTTCGGGATGGGGCGCTCCGTCTCGGGGGTCCTCGGGGCACTCTCGAGATCAACCAAGGCGGGCGCGTGGTCCGAGAGGCCCCGATGGCGTAGAACTTCGACGCGGTCCTCGGTGACCCCCAGGGCGTTCATCTGAATGAGTCCCCACCCTGGAAGAGACGCGATTACCCTATCTATGATGTTGGTAGAGTCGTAGCCAGACTGTAGTGCGTCGGGTCAGGCTGCTCAACCTCGACCATCTTCGAAAACAGCTCCTGCCAAATCGGGCCCCGACGAGCTCGCCACTCGCGATGGCCGAAATTGGGCCTAAACTCCCCGTGTGGCACTGCAGGGATCGGCGGCGCTGCGCTGATATTGAAATCGCCCACCACGAACACCAGAGCTCTCTCAGGTGCGAGGCGTGCTAGATTGAAATCATGTTCGATCGCCTGGGTGACCTTCCGTTTTTCAGCCCTGGATAGCCTAAAAATGTGAGCGCTGTAATGCGATATCCAGCAGTCCCCAGACTCATCTAAAATCGCACCGACGTTCAACGCGCGGCCCAGAACCAGTTCCACAACGGCGAAATCTCCCCGAGCACCCCGAACGCATGCTGCATGAGTCACTTTGACCCCGCCAGCTGGCTGGGTTCGAGCGCCCCGAACAGGAAATCATGTGAGCAATCCGCCAACATTCGTGCTCTGCGATGGGCGCGGCGACGAGCATGTGCAGCGCGCCCCGCGCGCCCCCTCATTCTGCGCCTCGCACTCGGCGTAGCTCCACGGGGCAAAAGAGTAAAACGTGTGGAAATTCTTGTGGATCAGGCACAGCATATCCTCAGCCTCCCCAAGGATCCCGCGCACGCCCTGGAGTCCCAGAACAGTGGTGGGCGAGAGGAGGGATCGGAAGTAAGCGATCTTCGGACTACGGAGGCTGAGGTCATGATGTAGCAACGCCATGCAGTTACAAGAAGTGAAGGTAAGACTCGATCTGGCCAACGATGACCCTTGCCATGCTGCCATCAGTCTGCTAAAGACACCACTCCGTAGCCACCGACTCGGAGAAAAGGTTGCCCACCGCGTCACGAACCTTCTGGTAGTCCATGCCGATGAGCTCCATGTTCTTTTGGCCGCGGTGGATCGAGGGCGCCTGAGAGCCAGGCGCGGGCTCGTAGGAGATGAGGCCCTTCCGCGACGAGCTGACCACCCCCTTCTCCCGATCAACGAAGTACTTCTTCGCTGGGTACTCGGCCGAGAGAGCTCGAACAATCTTCTTGCAGCCGAGCTCCCTCGCCACCTGCTTCGGACTCTTGTCCGGGCTGATCAAGCGCTCCACAGGAACTCCCCTCATGGGCGACAGGGCCGTGATCCCCCTCCAGCCAGCGCCGCGCCCTGGAAGCTTGAGCGCGCCGATGGCCTGGTTGACCCTCCGCGCCGCGTACGACCCCTGGCCCTTGACCAAGATCTGGTAGCGCTTGTCCACGTGCCCCCCAGAGACCTCGTAGTCGCCGCCCACCAAGCAGCTGTCCTGCAGCCACGGGGCGACCGCGTCAGCGACCGCGGCCTTGGGCAATGCCTCCTTCGTCCGCACCGTGATGATCGTAGGACCGATCTCCCCGTCGAACCCACTGCCGCCACCCGCTGGCCGCGGTGTCGGCTCTTCATTGCGCATGAGGCCCAAGAGATCCCGCCGCTCCTGCGCCTCTTGCTCCAGCTTGCCGATACGCGTATCGCGAATCTCCGCCTTGTGCTCCACCTTGCACATCCGCTTCTCCGCCGCCTGGTCGATCGACTTGCAGTGCTCCGCCATCGTGCCGCTGAGCGCCGACAGGAAAGGTTGCATGACCTTGAGGCTGTCCATGACGTCCGAGCGCGTGCGACCGATGTACTGCTTGAACTGATGTTGCTCTCCAGGATTCTCATCTTGTCCAAGTGCTGCACGACGATGGCCAGGGAGTGCTCCACCTTCAGCTGACGTCGCACGTGCTCTCGTGCCAGTCCCTTTCAGAGGCCGACGTGACGTGAGGGGCGAGCCTTGGAGGACTGGGGCCGCCAGTGCCAGCACGGCCTCCAGAAGCCTCTCCTCCTCCACCTGCTGGTGTGTCTGGGGGTCTGGCGAACGGGCGCCCTCCAGCGTCGGGCACATATCCTCGTCCGCGAGCATGCTGTCAATGAAGCCAGCGACTCGATGTCCCCCTGTAAGACGAGTATCCTCCACGTCCTCGCCGTCGCCGACCACCTCGAAGCGCTCGATGCCGTCGTCCACGGCGGGGTGCTTCTTCGGCGGTGCCTCGTCAGAACTGTTCCTGCCAAGCTGCCGAGAGGCTCTCTTGCCTCGGCCACCTGCTCCACTCGCCACGGGCGCCGCCCAAGCAGAGGCCATGGCTGAGGTCGCAGGAGCTGTCTTGCGAAGCTGCGCAGGAAGCAGGCTGTGCTCAAGCAGATGGGCGCTGCCTGCGCCGTGGCCTCCTGGAGGTCAGAAGATGGCTCGAGCCACCTGGTGATATAGGGTCCAAAGCTAATCGCTGATTCTCAAGCGTTTATAGCGCTTCACAACGTTTAGCCTTGAGCCAAAATGGCTACGGACCCTCCTCCTCCCTCCTCCCTCCTCCTCCATCTCCTCCCTCCGCCTCCTCCTCCTCCCTTCTCGTCGTCCTCCTCATCCTCCTCCTCCTCCTCCTACTCCTCCTCCTCCGTCTCCTCCTCCCCCCCTCCTCGTTCTTTCTCCCTCCTCCTCGAGGGCGGCCCCGGCTCCTCGGCTCTGGCGACCCCTCCCAGCAGACGTCCGCGTGCATGACCTGTGGGTCGGAACCCTCGGGCACCAGCGTCCAGCCCAGCTCTGTGAGGTAGGGTCTCCAGGCCGGGGAGGGGGGAAGGGGAGGGGGGGGGGGGGCGGAGAAGCGGGAAGGGGAGAAGGGAGGAGGAACAGGAGAAGGAGGAGGGGGAGGAGGAGGAGGAGGAGCAGGAGGAGGAAAAGGGGGAGGAGGAACAGGAAAAGGAGGAGCAGAGAGAAGGAGGAGGGGAAGGAGGAGGAGGAGGAGGAGGAGGAGGAAGAGGACGAGGATGAGGATGATGATGATGATGAGGAGGAGGAGGAGAAGGAGGAGGAGTAAGGCGAATGCGAGATCCAGACACTTCGGACGAAGATGCAGTCGGGAACTTTGGCTTAGCGTGTCGAACCGCTGGGCCTGGCCCACCACGCTTCGGCGACACGCTATCGTCAGCACCGCGAGCTGTTCCCAGCCTCCCCCGCGGAATGGGGCGACAAGCTATCCGTTTGCAAAGTATACCGCGTCGCCAAGGCCGCCGCCGCGACGCACTGTGCAACATCCCCAGCCGTAAATCGGAGATCTCGTCTCGAGCTGGCCTGGAGCATGCTTCGGGCGCCGCGGCCGCTTGAAAGCGCCCAGAAAGCTCTGGAGAGCATCCGTGAACGCTCTGCAGCGGTTGGTCCTCGTCCTGGGCGCGCCCGATGGGCGGAACCCAGGCATCGTGCGCCTCGAAAAAAACGAGGCGGCCAATCCGTCATAATTGCTTCGGCCTCTGGAGGCCCGTGTCGGGCCACGGGGCTCGGGGTGGACAGGCCGCCCTGGGCAAAGGGTCGAAGGGTCTGGGGGCCCACGCCACAAACACAACGGCGCGCCAAGTCTTGGAGGTGGAGAAGAGATGGGGAGGGCCAAGGGGGGAGAGATATGTTTCCCGATCAGCGGCCAAGGATCCCCAAGCAGAGGCGCGGCACGTGCCCACGAAACCAAGGAACGGCGCCACCACAAGCAAGACAAACTGCAACGACACATTCAACCACAGCACAGATCCATATACATTCGCAATGACACACACTATCTTCACGTTCGCCAGCATGGGCCCCACACGAAGTGTTCTAAACTACTACGTGGTGCAGTGGATGTGGTGCACGTGGGTGGTGAAACCATGTGGTGCAATCGGCGTGGTTCAATTGTTGGGCTATATCTGTACATATATGTATATATGTTTGCATGCGCATGCATATATATACATATATATATATATATGTATAGATGCATATATATATATGTATACATATGTGTGTACATACATACATATGCATATAGGTATGGATGTGGTGCCATCTATGTGGTGCAAGCTATGTGGTGCAATTCGCTCTGCCGAACTTGAAGTTGTCAGCTCGCCTGCTCGCGCAATCATCCCACCCACCCGCCCGTTCTTTGATTACAAAACCCATGCGGCGGCGATTGCGATGAGTCCGCGGCGCTGGCTTGCGCATCGCTGCGGCCGCGCAGGCTCGCGCGCAGAGCGTCCAACTACTCTGGCGCGACCGATGCGACCGCGGTGGCGTTGACCGCTGGGGCCTTCCCAGCACGTCTCGCAGGCCGCGCAGACGCGCGGGCACTTCAGTGCGAGTCGGTGACTCGGGCGGGCGCGGTATCATGGCGACGCCAGCGACGGCAGACACGGTGATGATAGTAGCGATGCTGGTGGCGATGATGGCAATGACGACGGCAAGGGCAATGATGGCGCCGATGCTGGTCACGCCGATGATGATGATGGTGTCCTCGCGTCGGTGATTAATGTTGTGCTGATGACTTCGGCATGCGCGCGCGGCCGGCGCGTGCGAGTGGCCCGTATGATACTATTTGACAGGGGCCATGCCCCCACCCGCACGTGCGCAAGGGCGTTCTCGACATGCGCGCGCGAGGGGCCCACGTGTTGAAAAACCAACGGCTTCCTTGAGAATTCAGAAGAGCGCGAACGCAGGCTTTTTGGACAGATCGTGTTGCAAAACATTTAAACTTATTTCCAACCATCCTGGAGGTGGGCCTTCGTTTTGCAGAGTGAGAGAGAGAGAGAGAGAGAGAGAACGAGAGAGAGAGAGAGAGCGCACCTTGTTTATTCTCCTCCTCCTCGCCCCTCCTCCCCATCCTCCCACCCTTGCCTCTACCCTCCGCCGTTTCGACACACCCCTCACGCGCTTCGTGGCCCCATATGGAGCTCCACCGGAGGCCTCAATGGCTGTGACCACAGGCGTCCCTGCCACCCATTTCGGCACACCCCCTCGCACGTTTCGTGGCCCCATATAGGGGCTTCACCGACGGCCCCAATGGCTGTGACCACATGCGTCCCCGACGCCCATGTCGGCACACCCCTCACACGTCTCGTGGCCCTACAGGGAGTGACCACGTGCGTCCCCGCCACCCATGTCGGCACACCCCTCGCGCGTTTCGTGGCCCCATAGGGAGCTCCACCGAAAGACCCAGTGACTGTGACCACATGCGTCCCCGCCACCCATGTCGGCACACCCCTCAAACGCTTCGTGGCCCCATAGGGAACTCCACGGAGAGCCTTATGGGCCGTTTTAAAACCATCATGGGGCGTCCTGGGGCAATCTGGAAACCACCTGGGGCCGTCCGCAGGCCGAACTGGAGCTCCGGAGGCCTCCGAGGGAACGATCCCAGAACGGAGGGGGCACTTGGTGTTGCCTGGGTGCCCCTGATGTGCTGGGGCCCCGGGGTCTCCAGGGCCGGGTTTCTGGTACTCCAGATTTCGTAATAAAAGGGAGGGGGTCTCATTTCGGGGGGGGGTCTCTTCCAGGCTATCTTGGAGGGCCTGGGGGGTCTGGGGACGATGTTTTGGAGGGTTCTCCCACGGGGGAGGTCTGAAATGGCTTGTCTTGCAGGGTCCAGACCCCCTCCCTTTTACTACGAAATCTGGAGTATGTGAAGCAGTCCTGACAGCACAGCCGGCAACTGTAAAACACGAAGCTGTGAATGACAAAGGCGTGACACACACACACACACGAAACACTCCAGCAACTCGGTGGCACCTGAAAGAGATGAACATCGGACGCTGGCACTTAAGACAAGAGGGGAGGAGGAAGGATGAAGAGGAGGACGGGAGGAGGAGGAGGAGCGGGGGGAGAGGGAATTCGCATAGTGTATGCACCGTCTGTGATCCCACCAACCACTGAAAAATCAAGCATCACACAGCGACAATCGAGGGGACCCGTGAGCCGTATACATCAAGCAATTGAGAATGCCCAGGCGGCAATCTAAACGGTCGCAGCCCGAGGGGGCTGACCAGTGCCAAATATCAACACTCAGCGGTATTGCAGTCACGGACAGAAGGAAGGGAAAGAGGGACGGGGAGGAGCAGAGGAGAGCAACACATCAACTGACAAACCCGGAAGGCCCAACCATGGTGGGAGCACCTGAAAAATCATACACCACTTCGGCAGTGCGCATCAGAGATCCAACCAAAGGTTGGCAAGCCTATCGAGTTCCTCAACGGAAGCAGAAAGAATGTGAGGGACTCCGAACCGCGAGGAGGGAGAGCCCGAGCACGGACCGCGCGCGACTGGGGCGGCACCCTGAAGAGGGAACGGCCAACAAGCACGGGCAGACCGATGCCACTAGGCGACCCCGCCCCGGCGAGCGGCCAGGAGCGTGCGAATTGACTGCTCAATCCTCCAGGCAGCGCCGCGTGCCAGACCCAGAGACCCCGCGCCCTAGAAAAATGGGCCCCCTTGAAATCAGCTCCAAAAATGGGGCGCAGCCGGCCCTGCATCGAAAATCGGTATTTCGTTGCATTGTGGATCGTCGAGCAAAAATGGGTCCCCGAGTGATCAAAAATGGGGAGCGACATCGATCGAAAAATGGGGCGCGGCCCACGGAAAAATGGGGCGCGATCGAGACCAGACGTCCGACACGTCTGGCGATAACAATCTGACGTTTATCAAACGTCAGATTGTTAGGCACCATTATCGTCATCATACACATCCTCACCATCATGATCCTGATCGTCGTCAGCATCAGCATGATCACCATCACCATCGTGATCATTATCAACATCGCCATCACTCTCCTCATTTTCCTCATCCTCATCATCATCATCATCATCATCATCATCGCCGTCCTCATCATCTCCAGGAGGAGGGGAAGTAGGGATGAGGGAGGAGACGAAAGGAGGAGAAGGTGGAAGAGGAGGAGGAGGAGGAGGGGGAGGAGAGAGGAGGGAGGAGACGGGGAGGAGGAGCAGGGAGGACGAGGAGGAGGGAGGAGACGGGAGCAAGGCGAGGAAAAGGAGGGAATGGCGAAGGCGGGATAGGAGAAGAGGGAGAGGGAGGAGGGCGAGGATGACGAGAGGAGAGGATGAGGAGTGTTTCCCGCGGCGCGCCGCCGCCTGCCCCTTTCCCCGCTGGCCCTCGCCAGGGGCAAGCGAGAGGGCGGGGCGAGAGGGATAGAGTCAGAGGGCCTACTCGGCCAAATTGCGAGAGAGCTCGAAAACCTCCGCCCCCGCGCGGGGCCAATCCAGCCGTGAGCGCCGTGTCTATTGAACGGTCCATGTTTATTTGTTTTATACTGATTAGTAATGTTCCTCATGTTTTTGTCATTCGTTTGTGTTGTTAATCGTTGCCATTATTGTTTCACGCACTTCTACCATTTGTGTTCAATCATTACCAGTGTGTTTAATCATTACCAGTTGTGGTTAACCATTACCATTTACGTTTAATCATTACGACTATTACCATTATTGCACGTATACATGTAGGTATATCGGGAACACCCTGCGGGCGTCGGCGAAAACCTCGCGACATACCTACCGATGCGCCAGCGCTCAGCCACTTTTCTGCTCATGTTCAAAATGCCTGTCCCCATCATCACTGTCGAAGCGATGCGCCCGATTAGCCTCATGAAATCTTCTGATTGATAGCACCAGTATATTCTGGGGTTGATCCATCGGCCCTGTTGTCCGATGTGAAACATAAAATGATGTTTGTTGACAACCGACCATTTAGCTTGCTTTCTGGCACGAGCTTCTGCCGCCAGGGCGCCGTACAGTACCAATGTCTTTTCGAT